CTACCTGTCAAGCTATTAAGATTTGTTTCAATATCACTATAAATACCATAAAAATAATTTGTATAAAAAAAAAACTATGTAGCAGGGTGCGAAATTAACGGGAGTCCAGAGTCAAATACTCCCTGATTTACTTTCGGACTCACTGATTTGACATATGCAAGAGTGACTCCCTGCAAATTCTGCCATACTATTACTAACTAGTTCGTTCCGGAGCACGGCCTCGCTGAATTACTGTATTTTTTCAGCTAATGTCCAAAGAAAATTTGGCAGACGTGCAACTGCATGAATCTTAAAAATAAGCACATGCGTTATTGTTAATATCTTTAATTTTGAACCTCATTTTGCTGCGGACTCTCTCTTTTTGAGGGTAGGGAGTCCGTTGGAAGTTAATTTCTACCCCTGTATATATATATATATATACATAGATATATAAATAGCGAATACTCTATTCACAGATGATGATATTGATGTATAGACATTAACGAAATTTTTATAAAATACTAGCAAGGTTTTGGATACTTACCATATGTTTGTTGCTCCTTAGACATGCGAAATTGAGGCCGGTCAGGGTTGAACTCATTTTCGAGATCGTAGTCATTAATTTCAAAGCTCTCAACCACGTCTTCTTCTGCCATTTTGTCGAAGTTGCTATCTTTGCACAAAGACCTCCTCTTGTTCAGTGTGTACTGATTTCTAATAAGGATCCTTCTTGCACTTCAGGGTGTGTAACTTTCTAAAAAATTCGAATTAACCAATAACTATCAGTAAAATATACAACTTTATATATACAATTTTACTGCATTGTCTCAAACAAGAGCAATGTTGCAGAGATGGAGAAGAGCAGAGATCTGGAGAAGAGATGAGCAGAGATGAGCAGAGAATGAGTAGAGATAGAGAAGGTAGTGCAAGGCTAACACTGTGCGCAAGTGAACCTGCGAAACCAAGGCTGTGCGCGATTAATGTTTAGACATACGATCTTCAGCAGTTCTTGGTCAAAATAAATAAACAACACCCCTGTCGATTTTAAAGGGCCTACCCCCACATTGACAAAAATGACATAGGTCACAATCTGGCTTAACCCGACCAGGCTGTGTGACTAACGTCAATATAGCCTACACACTCATAACGCATAACGTCAAGTCTCCTAACCCTAGCAAAGACAGTTTCTTGGAGCTAAATCTGGCCATATGCTCTCCATCCTTGAACCAAAATGAGTCTTTATATTCCAAGGGACTTGAAAGGGACTTAGGGACTTGGGGACTTAGGGACTTAGAACTTGGTGACTTAGATACTTGGAAGGGACTTATATTCGAAGACTTACAAGATAGAGAGTAGATACTTAGGCTGAGAGGGTCTATGTCCCCCGGTCTATGTGTCGTCTACGCTTACTCCCTAACCCTAACCCTAACTTTAACCCTAACCCTAACTTTAACCCTAACCCTAACCATATCAAATAGTGACCAGGGTACGTTCCGGCGGTACCCTGGGGGACATAGCTAGACCCTATGAGCGATACTTAGTAATACTAATATAATAGTAGTACCAGGATATTACTAATAGTAATACTCAGTAATAGTAGTAGTACTAGTACCATATTTATAGTAGTCTGTATTCTATATCTCTGGTAGTACCGGGCGGCCGTACGTGGTGCCATAGGAATAATATCACTATCAGATGTAGAATACAAATTCTTCTAATTTCTATGTGACCATGACAGTAAGTTGCAACTATTGAACTATGACTACAGCGTACATCATACTACATGGTATTGTATGGATAACAACAACTACGCACAAAATGTATTCAGTCATCAGTCAGCACGAGCTAGCTGTTCACAAACCGACGATAAAAGAATACACAGACTGCACGCAGACACGGTGAATATAAATTATTGAGCAGTACGTACCTAATGTAACATGTAAGACCTAGTAGTAGTAGTAAGACATGTGAACAGTTGTAGTTGTGGTCAGCCATTTGCGCCCGCTACATGTAATCACGGGAACGAACCGAAAAAATTGAGACCGAAACGGACCGTACGACGGAACGAGGTCCATTTGGACAAATGCGCGAGTAATACAACAATAATAATAGGCCTATATAAAATTCATATTTAAGTCACTACTAATTTTACTTGAATGGCCTTATGTAGGTAATATCAGGGATATCTTCTGATTTCTATATAACAATAACAATAAGAGAGAGAGAGCTCAGAGGGAGAGAGAGATGTGAAATAGCAAGTCAGGGTCCTCCTAAAGACGTGCCAGTATATTCCGCTAACGGAACATATAATTACCACTTGTTTAAAACGGTGCCTGAAAAAAAGAATGAGCTAATGTAAAAATATATTAAATATTAAAAACTAGCTTTAGCCTGTGTCTTAACCAGCCGTCGGCTAACCGCAACTGCTTCGCACTTTCTCTCGCTAAAAGTCAAGAATACTGACTTGCCCACGTATAATGTTGACCACCTCTAATCTTGAATCTTGAGTGAAGGTACACGGTAAACACACTTCAACAACGCCAGCCAAGCATAAATTTCTGATAGCTCGATACTCACAACATCGTGCCAACTCTCAACAACAGCCGTGCTAACGTCATATAGTGAGAGCTAACAGATTTGGCTCACCATGTCCTGTAAGCAATTGCGCTGCCATACCGAAAGCTAATCTACCTAAAAACCTTCACCGCACACACGCGGGCGCGTGCACACACACACACACACACACACACACACACACACACACACACACACACACCACACACACACACACACCAAACACCACGACCACGCACGCACGCACGCACGCCGCCACGCGCACACGCACACGCACACACACACACACACACGCGGCGCCGCGCCCGCGCGCGCACACTGGCACACACACAACACACCGCACCAACCACACACACACACACTACACACACACACACACACAACACACACACACACATTATCTACGCCACCTCTTCCCCGACTGGTTCTCGCCCCCCCGCTCCTCCACCTCCTTTCCGTCTCCTCCACTCTCCTCCGTCCCTCCTCCTCCACCTCTCCTCTCTCCTTCCTCCTTCCTCCACCTCATCTCCTCCTCTTCCTGGCTCCTCCTGCCACCACCTTCTCCCCTCCTCCACCACCTGGCCCTCCGCTACCTCTCCTCCTTCTCTTCTTCCTCCTCTCCTTCTCATCCTCCCCTCTCCCTTCCTCCTCCTCGCTCCTCTGCCTTCTCCCCCTCCTCCTCCTCCACCACTCTCATCACGCTCTCCCCTCCTCCTCCTCCACTCACCTTCCCGCCTCCTCGACGTCCTCCGTTATCATGCTGTCAACAATGAATAATAGATATATTGAATTAATCAAGTGAGTGTCCGAGATGTAAACGTCCGCAAGGTAATGTCCAAGGGGTAAATGTCCGGCGGGGTGATTGTCTGAAGGGTGAAATGGCATGGGCGGTAAATGCATGCAAGGGGTAATTTGATCCGCGGGGGGTAATTGTACCGGGCGGTAATATCCACGGTAATTTGTCCGGGTAAATGCCTGGGGGGAATTGTCAGGGGTAAATGTCCGGGAGTGATTGCTCGCGGGGGGTGAATGGCATGGGTAAATGGCAGGGGTAATTGTCGGGGGTAATTGTCTGGGGGGTAATTGTCCGGGGGGTAATTGTCGGGGGATAAATGTCGAGGCTAATTGTCCGCGGAGGTAAATGTCCGCGGGTAATTGTCGGCGGTGGGGTAAATTGTCGCGGGGGTAATTGTGCAAGGGGTAATTGTCGGGGGTAAATGTCCGGTGCGGTAATTCGATTCGGGGCGGATAAATGTCAGGGGGGTATTGTTCGGGGTAAATGTCGCGGGGGTAAATGTCCGGCGAGTAATTGTCCGGGGGCTAAATTGTCGCGGGGTAATGTCCGCGGGTTAATGTCGCGGGGTAAATTGCCCGGGGAGTAATAGTGCGCCGGGGGTAAATCGTCCGGGGCTAATTGTCCGGAGTAAATGCCATGGGGGTAATTGTCGAGGGTAATTGCGCGGCGGGTGATTGTCCGGCGGGGTATTTAGTCCTAGCCATATATAATATAGCCTATACACACACACACACACATTTTCGCGACCGAGCCAGCGATTCCTGGAGTGTGTTCTAAGCTGATGTGGATTGTAAAACCCCAATGAGTCAGTATAGCATAAACCGATATGTATATATTATATATCCATACATCTATCATATCTGATCTATCTATCTATCTATCTATCTAATCTATCTATCTATCTACTCTATCTATCTATCTATCTATTCTATCTATCATATCTATCTCATCTATTTATCTAATCTATCTATTATCATATCTATTTCTCTATTCTATCTATCGATCTATCTATCTATTTATCTATCTATCTATATCTCTCTCCCTCTATCTATCTATCTATCTATCTATCTATCTTTCTTTCTATCTATCTGTTTATCGAGCCAGCTTGTTTGTCTAGCCAGCTAGCCAATCAACAATTTGGCAGCCGCTGAGTGCAAGGGATACGATAATGAAATAACGGGAACGTCCATTTACAGCATCCTGTCACGTGACCACCTACATGTATTTGCTATTATTACACGAATCTCACAAAGATTATACGTTTAAGTTTATAAAAAGTAAAGCTTTCATTGATGAAAACAGGATGAAAACTATACATGTGCGTACTATTACTTTATCATCACTGGTCTCTCTACATGTGACAGTCGATTGATAAAGTCATCTTCTTCTATCCCTACGTACGCTTTCTGTACTTCGGCTTAATATCATGATTATGAACGAAGTGCTAGACAAAATATGCATAGCAACACGAATTGTAGGGACTCGCATTCTGCAGTGTTCTGCCCAGATTTTTCGGCCCAAGCCTAGTTTAGCACCCAGGATTAGTTTAGCATATATGAGAAAACACATTTGCAGGGTCCAAAACTATCCTTGATCCGAAATTTCAAAAGGCATACAATGATACATCATGTATGATGTTGTGCATAGCAAGGAGCTAAATATAACAACTAAACAAGGAGAGAAGCGCCGCCTATCGGCGCAAATTTTGGGTTCAGGCAGAGACCCTAGAACAGATTAGTGTTTCTATTGTCTCGGTGTCGCTCTGCACAGCCGTTTCAGCTTGATTATGTTTCCATAGATGGGTCCTTGAGGCCGAAAAGCGCCACAGCCAATCCGCTTCTCTCCTGTTATATTAGCTCCTTGCTGGCTATTAGAACTTTTAGAAGGATGGTCAATGTCAGCTCTAGCTACTATAGGCACGCGTACAGTTGCCGGCAGGGCCTTATAGAACTACTATTACGAATGCCTAGGACCACACCGCTGACTGGCGCTGCTGCCAGCGCCACCAAAAATGGCCTTTGAAGTTGCGTAAATCGAATGTTCGTTCACAAGAAATACCCAAGCAGACCATCTTCAACGATTAGCTTAGCAGTTAAATTTTAGTAGGCTGATAAGTAGCTTGAGACATATTCAGCTTCGGATATAAGAGGCCATTAATTGCCTACCACATGACCCCCGTTTTATAGCCCGCCGCAGTAATCGTGAATGTATGGATGGTCCGCTATGCAAGGAATCCCCTGCAATGGCAAATGGAACGTAGGAAAGTGTCCGCAATACTTTGGACTTGGGGTAGTGTGGTTAGATCCTCACACAACCACACCTAATAAACTATGTTGCTTGTTGACCTCCGGCAAACTTAATTTTCTGCTGAAGTGACAAGGCATTAAAGCCGATAGGACACCAAAAACCTCATTTCCACCGAATTGTAGCTAGTAGCTGAATATAAGTGTCGTATAGCTATTACCTAGGTCCGCAATCGGAGCACGTTATAACTCCGCATTTTGCTAATCTGAGGCGTGTGTGGGATTTATCGCTGCAGCTCAGCCCTTAGTAACAAATTGTTGCAATTTTTGTTGTGGGCATTGGATAGGTGATCGAGTAGGCACTGATGGGGCGTTGACTGGGGGGTATATCCGACCCAAAATATCAAGTACTGTTGTCAAAATATCTGTTTGTCAATATCGCTTTCCGAAGACTTTATCACCGTTTCAGAACTTTGTTTTCATGCAATAATTCATCCTAGTAGAGGATAATTCATCCTAATTCTTCTATCCTGATAGCTTGGTAATACCTGCTTTTTTTCAACAAATATCTAGCCATCTTGACAGATATTAGCTGAAGTACAAGTAATGACATTCAATTAATGTGCCCTGATATGTTGATTTTATCATAAATCTCTGCTATTATTGTGCTTTGTAGCATATAATGTTTTTCTAATTTTTCATTTATGTGTTTTGAAGGTCTGAGCAAAGCCCAGCTAGCGGCCCTAGGTAAGTCATTATGATAATGGTAAGATCTACGGGATTGTTACACAATGAACAATTACTTTGCAAAATTCTGACGTGACTAATGATGATTGCATTTTAAACAAACATGCTATTGGGAATGTTTCCCCTGGCCAAAAAGGTCTGTGAGGTGGTAAATTTTTGTTACCCATCTAAAGGTCTGGGGGTCAAAATTTCTCAAAATCTTTGAAAAAGAAGGTCCAATTTGGTACATTGATACTACATTCTAAGCTATTTTGGTGCATTAAAAGCACTGTTCTATGGAAGAAAAGTGATTTTCGTCAGCGAGACAGTGTTTTGGACAAATTTTTGTGTGGTGGCTGAGAATTTGAGTGAGGCAGCCCGCCTCGCTCGTGTCAATGCAGGGGAAATACTGCTATAGGTTTAAAGGAGCTGTGGTATTGGTTGTTTTTAAAATCAAACTGCTTAAAAATATAGTAGGGCCTACTTTAATTGCTGTATGCTTTATTATATGTTATTACATTAGTACAATTTTTAGATTACCCATATTTAATAAAACTTTACGGACATAAAATCATTCATCTTTGGCTGTGTAATTAAAAGTGAGGAACACCTTGCAGTGCTCGAAATAAGGGAAAAAATGTGGTTGTCCTGGCGCGACAACAGCATCAAATCGGGTTGTCCGCGGCACAATTTTCTGGCCTTGTCCCAAAAAAATATCCCCAAATCTCCATTTTCCATCAATAAAATATGCGTAGAAAACCCAAAACACTGGTGTATGCCAGGATCTTTTAACAGGTGGGGCAAAAACGAGCGAACTGGGCGCAATGTGGAATGACTGTGGAATATTTATAATGGCTTCTCGCGCCTCCTTCTCACACACCCCTGCTGCAAGCACGGCTCCTCACTTCCTCTGCAATCATTCTGTTTGGTGCCATTGCAAAAAGGCAAGCATTTTGTTCATTGTTCTCATGCTCCTAAGATTGGGTACATCTAGTGTTCAGCTGGCGGATCTAGGAAACTTCCGCAAGGAGGGGTGAAAAACAAGCAGGGGGTATGGGGGTCCTCCCCAGAAAATTTGAAACTGTAGATCGCTAGAGAATGGTCATTTGCGGCACTTTGAGTAATGTACACGCCTTCATTCTGACTACAACAAGCAATTCTCGTTTTTTAAACTTTCGGATGCAACATGAAATCCACTGTTGTTCTGTTTTTGCCAATGGCTGGCAAAGCCAATCGGAAAATGTCCAAAAATACATAATGGACATAAAAATACGCGCAAAATGTCAGGGGTAACTTGCTGGTTCTGCTGGTTTCCAAATCGAGTCGTGACTCCTCTCATAATATCAGAAATCCTGACATATACCAGTGTTCGAAAAAGCAGCTGTATGCGGCCGCTTTCGCCCACACCATTAAAGGGATTAATAGGCGAGCGCCGGCCCAAGGACCTATAAGTGGCTGCCATTCGTGCAGAACCCTGAGAAGGAAAATTCGTGAAGGGAAGCTAAAGTGGCGTCTAGTTTCTCAGCGCCTACTTGTTCTATGGTGATCGTCCTACCGAACAATGATCCTCAGTACTGGGTTAGTCGGCTAATTCGTGCCGGCGGTCCAAATTCTTGGGGTGGTGCTCGGACAAACCCGGACTAACGCATTCATTTCTGGACTGCCGTTGTACTTGGTATAAGTTTGATGTGAGTAGTTCATCTTGCATTTGATTTTGCTCCTTAACGGGACCTCCCAACAACACCCAACGGTTGTTGCTAAGTTCCATTCGGAGCGATCCCCGTCTTTCCATTTGCACACTTTCTACCATTATCCAGTCTAATTTATGTAACTCATGTATTGATAGTGGATTTGAAGGTCTACACTATAATCTGCAACACGTGCCCCACCAAAAATGCCGCGGCAGGTGATTTTCTTTTAATTTGAAGACATACATTCCAAGATTATATTATGGTTGTATCTTGTGGGAGGTACTTAGCCGTTGAATGCATCACATAACCATGGATACATTCGAATCGACTATTTCAATTGAAGGTAAAATAGATGCTACAATATATAACAACCTCTGAAGCCAACGCAATATTGGAGAGTGAATACCTCCCTCAGGTAAAGGTATTGTTTAGACAGAATTAACACCAGGAAAGATCGGTAAATTCATTCCGCTCCTCTTTACCCCTCCAATCTCTCCAGCTTGTAGCCAGAAAAGCAAATGATCAGCTAATCAATATAGTATAACGTAAAATTACAAATGAGGGCGGTGGTTTTTAGTATCAACTCAGTCTGATATGCACTATCGAATTCTGTATTTAGCAGGGTCAATGAGCTGATCAGCCCTGCTTCTAGTGATAATCGAGTGTTATATTAACCTAGCCACTAGCATGTATCTATAGTGAATTCAATCTCTCTTTGTTAAGCCGACACATGCATTCTGCAGGCTCAAAAGAAGAGTCAGACATGATGGAACCCGTCGCGTTTATATCGTCTGGTTTCTCCGGTCTGATCTGTACTAACATCCATATGAGCTTTAACGGATACTATGTTTTCGTAGGACATACGTGACGGCTTCTGAATCTTGTTTTAGGCATTTCTACTCCACCCCTGAATAATGACTATATAGCGTAATACAGAGAGCTTCTAAAGGTGTGAAATTAGTGTAGTATTGCCCATTTTCCCGCCTACAATATGACCTTTTTGCGCAACTTACGTATTATTTTTACTGGTGGTACTCGACACTATGCTGGACCAAATGGGAAGTAACGATGTGAATTCGCCCCCCTGGCGCTCGACACGAAAAAAGGTTACGGGTTCAAAGATGGTGGTCCTGATAATTCCGGATATTCGCTAATTCCACACACCGATGCAGGTTACAACATAGAGAAATCCCATAGACTCGTAAGCGAAGTACGGCGGGGATACTATTGGTTCTCATGTCCCCCCCAGTTGCCCGCGAGAGCGTAACCGCCAGCTCGGATTAACTCGACCAGCCGACCCGTATCCACTATCCGCCGTAAAAAAAAACAACCAAAACAAAGAAGAGTAGATTTCCCTCACCTTCTGCTCTATAACTCAGGGCCCCTAATTGACCCATACACACACACACGCGCTACCAAACTTGACGTATACTTAGCACATCTTGGGGAGACACGGTGAAGAATACCCCAGGTCACTGGGCGACCCTTTATTTGACCTTACCTTGACCTTGAATAAATATTTCCCTTCCGCTCCTCTAACAACATGGACAATAATTGACCTACGGCTAACAACTTCGGGTGACTACCTTCCACATCTTGGGGAAAAGGTGAGCAGACCCGTACGCAACAAACAACCAGGACTCCACTCGCGACCTTAGTTACTTTAACGCTGACCCTCCCATCCACTATTTCCTTCCGCTGCTATAACTGTTACCGCTCCAGTAATCTCGACCTCAGGCCGACGCGCAAAACACTCTTCGTCATACTTTAGCAGAGATTATTAGCGGGAGAGAAGGTGTGCTACGCGTACTAAAACCACACTCAGAGCGCAAAAAATTTTTAAACATGACTTGCAAAATCTCAGGCTAGATGAGTTGTATAACAAACCTTTGTCTTTGTGACTTATTTAACTTGACCTACCTTCTACATTCTTACAGAGATATTTCATTCATACTAGATCACGTGGGATACATGTAGTTGGCGACAACTGCCCTTTCTAGTTTGGTAACAGGCTTAGTCACTGCTGTCGTATATGATAATGAAGATGCATTTGAAGCATTTAGAACAATCTAGCCCTGTAAACCTGTTTTGTAAAAACATTAAACAATTTTTTTGATAATTGCAGTCTACAATCCTGTCATACGCTCTATAACTCGGCCCCTAATTGACCTAGCGCTACCAAACTTGGTATACTTACACATCTTGGGGAAAGGTGTGTCACGTACCAAAACCAGGTCACTACGACCTTTATTTGACCTTTACTTTGACCTTCATCATATTTCCCTTCCGCTCTATAACTCTGCCCCTAATTGACCTAGCGCGACCAAACTTCGTAGTTGGCGGCAACTGCCCTTTCTAGTTAGATATGAATTCTAAGATAAGCACCTGAAGTTGCTACGAGGAATATAGAGGACAGTTATGAAAGAGTGGCTTTTGCTTACTTTTTAGGTCATAGGTCGCTGTAACCAGTAAGACCTAAAAACCTTTTAACTCTACCCTATTGTTTAACTTACTATAGGGAGCATAAAATGTACGGTTTACTGATTTATGATGAGCAGCTGTCCAGTGTCTGTTTAACTGTCAAGATTTGACTTTAACTTGAAGTGAACGATGTCCAGTGTTAGTACTGTTACAGTGTTCGTCTTCAGTTCATATGGTCATAGTTTAGAAAAATGGTCGTAGGGTTAAAAGTGAGCAAAATGCTGTGACAGGGAAGTTTATACCCATGGTACATGCAATAGGCCACATTTTATTTAAAATTTAAATTTAAAATTAAGTTATTTCTTTTTCATGCAGCTCCCATCCAACTGCTCAGCTAGCTGGCCAGAGACTAGCCCAGTGTGTATGTAACCAGAAATGCATATCTCATGTCTTTTATATGGCCATATGATATGGGTCAGGTGGAAATCAGGCATAAACAATTGAGCATAAGGTATATATAATGAAGAGCACGTCATAGAGATGCTGCTCTATATGCTAGCTCTATCATGTGCTCTTGATATAATACCTTGTACTTGGTATATTGATGTGGTGATATCTTGCATTTGATTTGCTTAAGAGAACTCCCAACACCCAAGGTGTCTTATTCATTGGAGCGATCGTTTTCCATTTGCAATTATCATATACATAATTTATGTAACAATCATATATAATTAGTTAATATCTAGAAAGTGCCCCACAAAATGCGCATCTTTTAATTGAAACATACATTCAGATTAATTATGTTGTATCCTGTGGGAGTAATAGCCGTGATCACTAACATGGATACATTGAATGAACTATTTCAATTGAGTAAAAATATGTCAATTCATAACAATTGAAGCAGCAATA